ATTGAATTACTTCTCAATTATCTCCAGGGCAGAGGGGAGGAAATACTAATGCATGCTGGGAATATGCTGTGTCTGTGGGTCCTAACCTGTCTATTGTTACAGTCTCCCATTTGGTCCCCTAGGGCAGTGTCCACCAAGTGGGAGACCTGCATAAATACGGGCAGGTAGCCCACAGTAAATCCAGTTCATGTTTAACCCTCAATGCGGAGCTTGGTCTCGTTATTGGGGGGGATTTATTACCGACTACTAGAGACTGCCGGATGGGATTATTAGCCGCTTGGGAGATATATTCGTTCAGCTAATATTGGCGATTCGTGCATTTGGAGCTCGTGAAGAGAGGTGCCTGTACTGATCCCGTTCGTGAGTTTCCAGCGTTCCCCTGCTTACGGTTCGCATGCTTGTACTTGATACGCATGCAGCCTATGTTATTGTGAGAGGGGAGGATTTGCTAAACGGCGGTTTGTGCATCTGATGCTGAGGGTACCGTAACAGTAGTCCTTTGTGACCAAAGGAAGCAAGGCTTTTCTGCCCAAAACCAGTTCCACAGAGTCTATCCTGGAGATAATTAGAAGTAATCCAATTATCTCCAAGGACAGAGGCAAAACTCCATTTAACACATGGCAGCAAAAGACAATAAAACACATAAAAATATAAACCTGTGCAGCCATTGCACAAAACAGGTACATTCAACATATCCCCAGATAGCTCAGATCTGAGCGCACATTATTACTGAATGGCGCTCAGAGCACACATATACAGTTCAATTGCCATGGAGCCAAAGTCTTTCCCATAGTCTTTCATTATACGAATGGGCTCCATGGCATAGCTATCTGGGGTATCACCGCTCAAACAGGGCAAGTACCAAATGACCCGGCTTTCTTGTCTTTGCAGGGGAAAATCAAGCCTTTTAACATGGGGCCATAATCCAAAGGCAACAGGCGAGCAACCAGGCTTCTCCAATGCAATGTGGCGAGATTAGTCTTGTCACATCTATGTATTCGGTTAAATTGTAATCTGTATATGTGAATTGTATGTAGCATTCGCTGATTGTTCGGTAGAATCACTCCAGTATTATGCGAATTAAACTACTGAACAATCAGACCACCCCAGTAATCATTGTGCCTCCAATTGCTGTTCGCAACAATGTTGCAAACGGGTAATTGGCGGTTCGTGTAGTGGGTCCTTTGTTCTCTGGGCGGCAGCCATTCGGGAGACGAACACATGGCGGCCATTTTAAAACTCCCGAACAGCGGTGTTTTGCCGTCGAGTGTCTGGAACTCAAATCGGACACTCAGTTAGGCAAACACCGGTGAGACCTCCACACTGCAGCCAATTCGTATGCAAACTACCGAACGGCTTCTCGTTCGGTAGTTTGAATCCCACAAACAAGGGTAATTACACGAAACCTCCCCCGCTCTCCTAACACAAGTCATTCGCGTGTTACATTCCCTTTTGTGTGACCGACAGCAGGGCCAAAATGCATGGAGCCTTATTCAGCTGGTAAACTCAGTGCGGTCGGTCATTTTAGTACTTCCATAAATTTCCCGAACCCCTGGTCCGATTTGGGTGATTTTTGGATATGTGTCTCACCCAGATCAGGGCTACCAGGGGATGTAACATTTAAAGGGGTACCCCTATGTTTACGGGTACATCCAGAAACTCAGGGAATTTGTGTCCTGCATAAGGGGATTATGTGTCACACTAAGGGGAGGAGATGTGTGGGTGGCAACTCGTGGAGGATTGGCTACTGTACTAATTATTGCAAATCCCTCCCTTGCATGGGAGAATGCTTTATAAGGAAGTTGTGTGCATTAAAAGTCAGTTCTGCTCCTGATGCTGTGTGTCGTCCAGTCATTGTGATCCGTATTGGGATATTCGTGGATTACATTGCATGCTGTGATTATTCTCCTGTGGTGTTTTATAACTTGTTCCTGAGCCTTACTGGGATCTTTAGTGGAGTTATCCTGTGAAAGACCAGCTCTCCGCTACAACCTGCAGTACTCCTTCACACCCAGCACCCCATTACCTGCAGTACCCCTTCACACCCAGCACCCCATTACCTGCAATACCCCTTCACACCCAGCACCCCATTACCTGCAGTACCCCTTCACACCCAGCACCCCATTACCTGCAGTACTCCTTCACACCCAGCACCCCATTACCTGCAGTACTCCTTCACACCCAGCACCCCATTACCTGCAGTACTCCCTCACACCCAGCACCCCATTACCTGCAGTACTCCCTCACACCCAGCACCCCATTACCTGCAGTACTCCCTCACACCCAGCACCCCATTACCTGCAGTACTCCCTCACACCCAGCACCCCATTACCTGCAGTACTCCCTCACACCCAGCACCCCATTACCTGCAGTACTCCCTCACACCCAGCACCCCTTTACCTGCAGTACTCCCTCACACCCAGCACCCCTTTACCTGCAGTACTCCTTCACACCCAGCACCCCATTACCTGCAGTACTCCCTCACACCCAGCACCCCATTATCTGCAGTACTCCCTCACACCCAGCACCCCATTACCTGCAGTACTCCCTCACACCCAGCACCCCATTACCTGCAGTACTCCCTCACACCCAGCACCCCATCAACTGCAGTACTCCCTCACACCCAGCACCCAATTACCTGCAGTACTCCCTCACACCGGGCACCCCATTACCTGCTGTGATGGACCGTTGGCACTCCGACTGAGTACCTCCGCCAATCGATGCTCCTAGTGCTCGTTGAGGACTCCAAGCACTCCAACCGACACCATCAGCACTGCAGACCCCACTTCCAGCGATGCAGGTGCACCAGGGTCTCGCTGTCTCCACCCAGCCTGGACCCAAGGCCAGGATCCAGCTTCCAGTGGGTGAACCTCTCTTTCCCCAGGGAGCAGGAACAGGAACAAGCTCTTAGCAAAACTTAGTGATCATACACTGGGGAGTATAGTGATTATAGCAATCCCCAGAGTGTATTTCTCCAATCCCCCAAACATGAGCCAAGGCTTCAAGAAAGGTACAAGATGATCTGTTTTTAATGACCACACACTGGCTTTTATGCAAGTCCCCATGAAGGGGACATCCCACAGGGTGGGACCCAGTATAACCAATCACAGACAATACAAACAAAACACTCCCACAGTGACATCACAATCCCTCCTCTCTACCCTGGAGATAATTGGGAAGTAATCAACTTATAATCCTGGACAGAGGCAAGACTCCATTAACCACATGGTTACAAAAACACATAAAATTACACAATGTTACAATTCCTACATAAAACATATACCTGCAACATATCCCCAGGTAGCTTAGATCTGAGCGCACATTATTATGGAATGGCGCTCAGATCACATACATACAATTCAATCGCCATGGAGCCAAAGTCTTTTCCATAGTCTTTTGTTACACAAATAGGCTCCATGGCATAGCTATCTGGGGTAGCACTACTACCATACTGAAAGTCCAGAACGCCCCGGCAGAAATACACAAATAAACCTTTCTGCTGGGGAAAATATAGCTATCAGCACAGGGGCCATAGTCGGAAGGCAGGAGGCTAGTACCCCTCACACCCAGCACCCCATTACCTGCAGTACCCCCTCACACCCAGCACCCCATTACCTGCAGTACCCCCTCACACCCAGCAC